GGTTGAAGTCACCTCATAATATTTCCAATCACCCATGAGACTATAAATCCTCAAGGGCAAAGACTGCTTTTTCTTCCAAAGCTGAAATGAGTTGCTATGTCTGGCATGAATGGGATGGTCAGTAAATGTTTGATGAACAGAAATGACTAATTCCAAGTGAAATTTCATTTTCCACAAGGAGCAAGACAGTGAGATGAAATGCGAATCCAGTGTGGTTTAATAGGGTGACGGTCCTTCAAGTGACCAAGACGATCCTCTCCCCACCAGCTAGGGCTGAAGCATGGAGCTTCAAGTTACAGATTCAGAGGTGGGGTTACGTCTGTGTTTGAGCAGAGGCTTCAATTTCAGCCTAACTGTACTGGTTTATTCAGTCCCAAGAGATAAGAGAATCATACTTTTCTATCCATGTCCTCTACATTGGAGGAAGGGATGATTACTAGTATGGACTATAGACAATGTGGGAGGATAGAAATATTTGCTTACTTTGGCCCTGGGAATTTTGAAAATCCTCACAAGGATGGACTCAAGATTTTATGAAAGAAGTTGGGGCTGATGGCAGTGATTATCAGGGAGACGTTAGCCACAGTGCCACAGTTTCTTCTTTTGGAGTAATAGATCTTTCACTGGGAGTGGGGGATATTTATTTTCATTTCAGTAGTCTTAAATATGAGTTTTATTACGATAATAAAAAGCCCCAATTAATTATCAGTTCCTCGACAATCAATTAGCCACGGTCGCTGTCAGTATCATATCTGTGCACTATTCCTAACAAGCCCTTATTTCTTTTAGCTGCCTCTCATTCCATTCGTTTGCTGAATTAATGAGCAAGTATGTACGATGGTTGCACAGGTTGTACCAAAACGCCTGATCACATGCGATTCTTAAATAAATGGCTTAAAGCAGTTTCAGACGAGCTTTCCGCTTTCATGTCTGATTTAACTTACCATTGATAACCGTCTTTCCAATCCCAACTTCTGTCTTCTGCATTTCCATACATGAGGCAGCAGTGAGAAGACGGGCTTCTTTTGTAAATACGTTGGGTAGCAGAAGCTGTCAGCATAGGTTTGCAAGAACCTGTATCTGTAAAAGTTTCACATGTGGTTCTGATCCGCAGCTATGGCTGATAACATTGGTGTCTTAGTTTGGGTTGCTGGAACAGATACACCATCGACTAGGTGGCTTAAAGAAAAGCAATTTTTTTTCTCACGGTTCTGGCGGCTGGCAAGTGTAAAATCATGACGCCAGCAGATTCAGTGTCTGGTAAAATCCTCTAAGTGGTTTGCAGGTGACCCTTCCTTGTGTCCTCACGTGGCAGGGGGCTAGCTCTCTTCTGCTTCTTGGAAGGACACTAATCCAAGGGCTCCTGGGGGGCTCAGTCAGTTAAGCATCCAACGTCAGCTTGCGGTTCGTGAGTTCGAGCCCCGCGTCGGGCTCTGTGCTGACACCTTGGAGTCTGGAGCCCGCTTCGGATTCTGTGTTTCCCTCTCTCTCTTGGCCCCTCCCCTACTCATGCTCTCTCTCTCTGTGTCTCTCAAAATAAGTAAACATTAAAAAGTAAAAGGAAAAATAAAATAAAAATAAAATGCAGTCATCTAAGCACTGAGTGAGATTTCTCATACGCTACTTGGACATCTTACTAAATTAGAGAGCAAAGGATAATTACTTTGGTAATCATTTAAAAAGTAATACTTGCATCATATTCGCTACAGCTCCCAACTAAAATGACTATTTTAGTGCTTTTGTTGAATAAATCTTTTCTAATATAATTACTAACACTTGGATTAATCAGATCTAGACTAGTATGACAAAATTACATCTTTTGTGTCATTCTCAAGAAGTTAGAAATATCATTTTAGACACACTTAATAATTTTATAGCTTCCTATGAGATAAATAAGTAGAAACAATTATTTTATTGATGCTAAAATGGAAGTTCTAAGAACAGTAAACAAAAGTGTTCAAAATTGCAACTAGATGCCAAATATAAATTATCTGTTAATTTATATATGAAGCCTAATAATTTATACCTCAACTCACATATAGACAGACCTTGACTTATATTGGTTCAACTTATGATTTTTTTTTAAGTTTATTTATTTATTTTGAGAGAGAAAGAGAGAGAGCAAGGGAAGGGCAGAGAGAGGGAGAGACAGAGTCCCAGGCAGGCTCTGGGCCGACAGCCCCAACACAGGGCTCTAAGTCATGAACCATGAGATCACGACCTGAGCTGAGATAAAGAGTCGAAAGCTTAACCACCTGAGCTGCCCAGGCACCCCTCAACTTATGATTCTTTGACTTTATGATGTTGTGAAAGTGACACACATTCAGTAGCAACTGTACTTTTTGAATACTGAATTTGGAGCTTTTCTCGGGCTGACAGTAGATGGTCCAATACTATCTCGTGATGCTGGGTGGCAGGGATGTGGCTCCAGTGAGCCACATGCTCACAAGGGTAAACAGCTAATACTCTTCCAGCCAGTCTGTATTCATATGACCATTCTGTGTTTCACTGGCAGTGCGGTATTCAATAAGTTACACGAGGTATTTGACACTCTATTGTAAAATAGTCATTGTGTTAGATGATTTTGCTCAAGTGTAGCTAACGTAGGTGAGGCCTGAGATGTGGGGGCGAGGCTAGGCTAAGCTGTGATGTTCAGTAGGGCAGGTACATTAAATGCATTTTCAACTTAGGATTAGTTGATAACGAAGTAACTCCGTCATAAGTCAGGAAAGATCTGTAGACACATCTATTTATGTGTAACAAATATGAAATAGCCTCTCCAATTCTTCCTCTTAAAAGCCAGCAGATATTTGCTAGTCGAGAGATTAGTAACTCTATGGTCCTGATGTTAAATATTAAGTATTGTAGTACATTTGTTCATAGGTCAGCAGATGGACATAATTAAGGCTAAATGTACTTATCAAAATAAGTTAACCAAATTGAAACTCTGAAGCAGGGAGCTTACTATTGACCTCATTAGATTTGTCTGCCCTGTTGAAAGTTTACCCCATACAAGAATCTGTTAATGTAGGAGCTCTTATGCTCCTTTACCAGACAGACCTCAGTGTGAAAACAACACCCTCCTCAATGAATAAAACTGGAACATCATGATTGCATTATACCTAGTCCTCACCAGGACTTCAAAGTCTAACCGTTAGCGTTGCTTTTGTTAAAAAGAATGTCTTGTTTATTTTTATTTTTATTATTTTTATTAATTTTTAAATGTTTGTTTTTGAGGGGGGGGGCAAGGGAGGGGCAGAAAGAGAGGGAGACCCAGAATCCGAAGCAGGCTCCAGGCTCCGAGCTGTCAGCACAGAGCCCAATGCAAGGCTTGAACTCACGGACTGTGAGATCACGACCTGAGCTGAAGTCAGACGCTCAACCATCTGAGCCACTCTGACCCTGTCTTGGTATTTTTATTTATTTTTATTTTATTCTATTTTATTTTTTTAGATCACAAGTTACTGATTTATACTAGAGACAGAAGAAAAAATTTTCTAGCATTTATGAAAAAGTAGCGACTTTTACAAACACTTGACTGGAATCAGAACAGGAGGCCTCATGGCTTTTAAGTCCTGACTCTCCATAGAGAACTACTGTTTGGGTTGGATTGTATAGGAGCTCAGGGTAAGAAATGCAATTCTTATAACCAGGTTGGGGGAGAACAACTTGTGCTGTTAGCTTCAGATATGTGATCCAAAGGCTAGCAGACTTCTTCATCATTTATTCATTTTTTTAAACACTTTTTTTTGAATGCGTATTTATTTTTGAGAGAGAGAGAGAACACAAGCAGAGGTTGGGGCAGAGAGATCAGGAGACACAGAATCCAAAGTAAGCTCCAGACTCTGAGCTGTCAGCACAGAGCCTGATGCGGGGCTTGAACTCATGAACTGAGAGATCATGACCTGAACTGAAGTCAGATGCTGAACCAACTGAGCCACCCAGGCGCCCCTCATTTAGTCATTATTTAAAGAAATGTTTGTTAAGCATTTCTTACGTGAATATACTGCCTCTGTGTAACTTACAAGTAAAGTTTGCTCCCAAGACTCTACCTACATACTAGTAGTAGAAGAGGTGCTGGGAAGGGATGGTGGGTTCGTAACTGCAGATGGGTTGCTGGGAATATTCAAGGCGTCCAAATTGCCTTCGGGATTCCTCTTTTATATGTGGTTGTGTTCTATCTGACTCCTTTTTCCTGCTTCCAACACATTGACGATCTAGCTGTCTCCAAGCATCCCCCTCTTTGTTTATTCAGTAAGTAAGGCGGTCAAGTAGTGTGTGGTGTGGAACTTCAGCTTCATTTATCCTGTAGAGTTTCACTTCTGTACTGTGGTAGGCATCACCAGTTATAGAACAATCATTCTTATAACTGCCTTGACTATTCTTTTCGGTCTGGGACTGCAGGGCAGTGCAGAAGCTGGGGAACAGTTGTTCACTGTGGATGGGTGTCCTTGCACTAGAGGGGATGGTGGGCTAGGAATGATGTCTGTTACAGTGTTCTATGAGAGACTTCCCGGTTCACCAACTCCTTCCTGTCCCCTGTGGGAATCATGATTTCAATATTCAAATGAGAACAAAGGACCTTTTGAGGGAGTGGGAGATGACCATTTTTCCTAGGAACTGTGACTGCCCCCACCCTGTGGCTTCTGAGGAAGTGGGGGGAAGATGTGGACTCAGCACGAGGAACATTTGTGACAAATTCTAGAGCACATTTATCACTTGCATTAGACATCGTCTTTTTCGCTTCTATTCTGATGACTGAAAAATACCAGAATGAGTTAAATTGGATCAAATCTCAAGTCAGATTCCTTCTGGGGATCGAAGTTGCCAGAATGGCCTGCTCTGGGTTACTGGATAGGCATCTCAGGTGGGGAATCTGTATCACTTATTTTTTTCCCCCTAAAAACCTACATTCTTGCTATTTATATGGGTTTTCTTCTCCCTTTCTCCATCCCCTTTGTATCTGGTATTTCTCCCCCCGATTCTTCCTTCTTTCCCAGGTGTGTTTGATAACTGCTCCCACACTGTCAGTGACAAGGGCTGGGCCCTAGGGATCCGCTCAGGGAAGGACATAGGAAGGCGAGACGCTCGCTTCTTCTTCTCCCTTCGCACCGACCGTGTGAAGAAAGCCACCATTGTGACTGGCAACAGTCGCTACCAACCAGGCACATGGACACACGTGGCAGCCACCTATGATGGACATCGTATGGCTCTGTATGTGGATGGCACTCGGGTGGCCAGTAGCCCAGAGCAATCTGGTCCCCTGAACAGCCCCTTCATGGCATCCTGTCGCTCTTTGCTTCTGGGGGGGGATAGCTCTGAGGACGGCCGCTATTTTCGTGGACACCTGGGCACCCTGGTCTTCTGGTCGACCGCCCTCCCGCAAAGCCATCTCCGGCACAGTCCTCAGCGTCCAGCTGGAGTGGAAGAATTGGCCTCCCTCCTCCTGACAGCCAGTTTTGAGCCCTTGGAAGAACAGTGGGTCCCCTTTAGAGATGGGGAGTTCCCACGGCGTGAGGTTCTGCATGGCTTTGAGCCTGAGCCTGAAATTGTGTCACCTCTGAAGCCCCCACTCTGTGGACGGACGGCTTGCGACAACGTGGAGCTGATCTCCCACTACAACGGGCACCGGCCCCTCCAGGGAGAGAAGGTGATCCGCTACCGAGTGGTAAACATCTGTGACGATGAGGGCCTGAACCCCACCGTGAGCGAGGAGCAGATCAGCCGGCAGCACAAGGCGCTGAACCATGCCTTCAGCCGCTACAACATCAGCTGGCAGCTGAGCGTCCACCAGGTCCACAACTCCACCCTGCGCCACCGGGTTGTGCTTGTGAACTGCGAGCCCAGCAAGATTGGCAATGACCACTGTGACCCTGAGTGTGAGCACCCACTCACAGGCTATGACGGGGGCGACTGCCGCCTGCATGGCCGGTGCTACTCCTGGAACCGCAGGGACGGGCTCTGCCACGTGGAGTGCAACAACATGCTGAATGACTTTGACGACGGGGACTGCTGCGACCCCGAGGTGGCTGATGTGCACAAGACCTGCTTCGACCCCGACTCACCCAAGAGGTAAGGGACTGGGGCTTGGGGTGTCCTGCTCGTGGGATGCATTTCTCGCATTACACGTCCCACCGGACATTAATGATTGCGTTTTTGTGAAGTACTAGGTGTCAGGTAATTAGGGACACAAGGATGGCGAGGACAACCGACAGCCCTCCCAGAACTCGTTTTCTGTGGAGCAGACGACATGTGCATGGTGTAAAGTGTGCCCGAAGGTGTACACACCAGCTGCTTGAGGCACAGGAAAGCCAAACAACTTAGTCTACCCGAGGAAGCGAGGGGATCAGCAGAGAGTGAATAAGGTAAACTTCGGTAGACACCAGTCAGCACCAACCATCCACGATCGTTCTTCCTGTAGTCTTAGGCTCCCAAGAGAGTAACAGAGATCCGGGAAGAGGTCTCATGTGCGTGTAGTCTCTGGTGCAGCTTGAACAGTTGAGCAGCCTCAGGGCCACGAGACACCCCACAACCAACCCCACGTCTCCTTAAGGCGACCACAGTCTTCCTCTGTTCCCCATCAGATTCCATTCCCCACACAACATCCAGAAAGAGCCTTTGTGAAAGGTGGATCGGAACCCATTACTCCCCTTCTTAATTTCTTTGTCCCCACTCTACTTAGAATAGGATCCGGATTCCCCACCTGGCTCACGGGCTCTGCTACAACCTGACCCCTGCCTACTCGCCTAGCTTCTTCCCCCAGCCACACTCACCATCCTCACTGCACAGCCACCCTGACTCTCTCCCGTGCCTGCTGAATGGATCAAGCTTGTTTTCGCCCCAGGGCTTTTCACTTTCTTGGAATCCTCTTTCCCCTGATCTTCCTTGGGTGGATTTTCTCTTGTCATTTCAGTATCGACTTAAATGGCACCTCCTGGAGAGGACTTTCCTGATTTCCCCTCATTTAAGTAAGCTGTTCAGTCACTATTATGTCAACTAATTTAATTCTGTATGTCACACTCATCCCTTCTTATGCTTTTCTTATGTTAGTTTGTCTCTCCTTTGCTTGAAATATCAGCTCCGTGAGATCAGGGCCCTTGTTAACCACTACAGACCTCGTGCCTAGAACAGCCCTGACATACAGTTGTTTGTCTCATGTTTATTTTAATGAATTAATGGATTTGATGTGTCTTCTGTTGTGAGACAGAAGTCAATATGAGGATTTCCATTTGATGGTCAATGCAGGGGTTGGTGAGTGTTACAGGGAGGTAAGAAAGGAGGGAGGGAGGTGGTAAACTTGTTAATTGGTGTATGTGGGCAGGGCTTCCTCATTACATAACTGGTACCTTTGTACAAATTATGAAAAGGCTCACATCTGAACTAGGGTGTAGTGTTGGTGAAAGGTGGGAAGAGTGGGTCTCAGCTCCCACCCAATACCTGAATGGCTGCCTTTGTGTTTGTTGGCCACGATTTGCAGAGTAATTCATGGTAGCCCTGTGTGGGGGCAGTCAGTTAACACCGATTAGTAGGTCGGCTTGTAGTTGAGGCATGTGATATCAAATATTGAGTATAAAATTCAGAATCGGGACACAGTTGAATTCTAGAGCCCTTGCTCCGCTAGCTATATAAACTGTGCAAGTCACTTTCTGAAACTCCGATGTCTTGTCCGTAAAAAAGAGCATGATTGCAGTGATACTTTGCCTTACCTATATCCTCGGGCTATTTGGTGAGTCAGATGAAATCAGGGATAGAGAAGTGCTTTGGTGACTGAAGTTTTCAGTGTTAAAAAACTGTCCTAATCTAACATTAGTTATTATTGTCATAATTAGACCTGACAGATGGGAAGCCTTTGTTTATATAGTAATAATAAGAGGAATTGATCACATTCCCAGAAATACTCACATAAGAAAGATTCTGTTTGGGTTTGGTTTTTAGATTTTGATAACCTTAAGCAGAAGCTAAACCTCACTAATGACAGTGGTTTCCAACTCTCTGGAGAGACGGAGAAATCTGGCTTGTTCTCATTTTTCCTCCTCACTCACTGATTACAGCAACCCACTGTCATGACTGAGAGCGTTATTCCAGGTACCGGACATCATTCTTGAGTGTCCCTTTATGTCTCTGAACACCTACAGCCACTACCCTTAACTAGGTGTTTATAACGTATTCCCCTTACTGCTGCAGAGTTGCCATGGCAACTGATCTCTTTCTAGCTCTAGACCCAGACATGTTTCAGACCTCCTTATCCCGACATGCAAAATTCACTTTGTGGAATAAAAGGAACTGTTTGTGCCTTTTTGATAGTTAAAAATATTTAAATCAAAGTAATACATGCTCATGGGTACAAAACCAAATTGTACTGGAAAACATAGGGATGACAGCCCCCTGCCTAATTTTTCCCATCTTTCTCTCCCCTCTAGCCTTGCTCCCATATTTGATTATTTTACCTTTCTCTTTTGGTACTTACCTCCGTACCTCCAAATATTGTATTTATATTACTTGATTCATTGGCTTTAAACATTGTGCATTAGCTTTCTCTTACGATAAAGAGGAGACTTTGACTCTTATATTGTCTCCTTCTTCTCCCCTCCATATTTCCAATATAGTTCTTTCACTGTCTTTAGTTGAATCAGTTATATATATTTACAACATCATGGCTATGATTTCTTTCTTTTTCTTTCTTTTCTTTCTTTTCTTTCTTTCTTTCTTTCTTTCTTTCTTTCTTTCTTTCTTTCTTTCTT